TATATATATATATATATATATTGCAGACAGAGCAACTATTTTAATGGATAATGGCTCTTTTCATGCCTGTTGAGTAACCGTTTGTAATTTTGCTCCAGGTGAACACATAATGCCACAGAGGCTGCATTTGTGCAGCTTTCTATTATTGATTATCTTTTCACCCTGTTCCCTGCAGCAGCCAGTCAGACTAATGCGCCTTTAACTGAGGCAGGAATACTCAGCCAARTACAGAGAATGAGCCAGGTTCATGTTTTTTTTTCTCTCTTTCTGCCTGTGCAACTGCACTGTGTGTCTGTACTATTTAAATGTGAGTTCACAGCAGCCTCAGTGCTCTTCTGAGGACAGTATTTTTTAACTTTTTTTTCTGAATTTTACCCAAAAAAATAACCTATCTTGTAAAAAAAAAAATCCATCCATTAATCTTTTTTTTTAATTATTATTTAATTTTTTGTGCATGGTTGAGAGGAGCAGGGTGAGAGGCAGGACACACAAAGACAAATAACCATTCTAGTCACAGATGTCAAACAAGCAAACATGCATGTCTTTGATTTGTTAGAGGAAACCCATTYGCAACTCCAAACTGAAAGACAACAGCTGAGTGTTGAACCCTCAACAGCTTTGACCATTGCTCAGCTGAAACTGTTTTTAAGCTGAAATAAAATGGAATAGTGAGAAACCCAAGAACAGTCTTGTTTAAATAATAATTTATTTTTCAGTAAATATAAGTAAATTTAGCACAAAAAGGAAGGCAGTTAGTGTTTGGTAGATTATTTCTGTGTTGTAACAATGCTTCTTGGCAATACATTTTATTGGCAGCTCCGTGGGGGACCAGAAGCTCAAAACAAGTGTCAATAGCAACAGCAAAATAAGCTGTTTGACAGAGAAGATTTAGCAATTTTTTTACGTGTACAACCCCCTTACTGTAGCGCTACTGCTCATCCCGCAAATGCATGTTCCTTACAAATGTGGCACCATTTAAAAGGGAAACTAAGAGGGTTTTCCAATGATTTAAAATTTATTGCCAAGAAGCATTGTTGCAGGAAAAACACTTAACCAAACACAAGTTTCCCTGCTTTCTGTGCTAAGTATATAAATTTGAGGTTAGCTCGTTAGATATTATTAATAATAGGAGAAAGTAAAATGTAAACAGTTAGAGAAACAGATTTTTAGCTGCTGGCTTGTAAAGTTAGAGATTGATAACCAACCCTAACTTCAAAAACCAACATGGCTGCTCTATGTATTCTAAGTGAGCTGCAAYAATATCCTGTTTATTTACACTTTTGTTGGTTTGTATGCAATTAAATCAACAGTAAGCGTGTTGCTTTAGTGTTTAAATGCATTAAAAAATACACAGTTATAAGCTTGTATTAGTAACAGTTTTACATAAAATGAATAAACTAAAACAAATGCTGTATATACTATTAGATAACACAACATATCCTGTATGAAACAGCTGAATTGTGGCCATGACCAGTTTTTCTGTAATTGATGCAGAGTGCTGCCAGTAGAAGTCGCTGTAGGGACTGAAAGGCAAAGTAATATCTCAAAGGCACACCACAGGAAGCCGTGGGTCAGTGGTTTGTGTGTGTGTTTGTATAAGGTAACTGTTATTTAGTTTCCCCTAACACACACACACCTGAGCAGCTGTGTTCTGTACACTTTGTCTCCTACATACATTCAAAGAGCTGCCGTTCTATACCTCCAGGTTCAAGTCATCCAATTCCACCTCTTYAATTATGCACACAAAAAGGGCCCCCCTTCTGAGGTTTGGGTCCAGTTTGTGTTGCTCACAGGTTTTAATGTTTATTGGCTTCTACCAAGTGAGGAATGGAACATACTCCTTTGATGCTGGTTTGTTTTTATATATTTTTATTAGTATTTTTTTTTTGTCAGATTTTTTAATTTTGCCAGCATTGATTTTCTGTCCTAACTGGACTGTCAGTGCTACACTGTAAGTATAATATAAACTTTGATTATCATTACTGAGAGTATTATCCTATACGGTCAGGTAGTTAAATTGGGACTCTAGGGGACAAANTATAAACTTTGATTATCATTACTGAGAGTATTATCCTATACGGTCAGGTAGTTAAATTGGGACTCTAGGGGACAAARATTAAACATAATAGTGACATTAAAATATAATGAAAAAAATTATTATTTGAATTTATTCATCTTTATTATTTTTTTATTTTCTGCTCACACATAAGTCATTTTTATTATCTTTAATAAAGCAGGAATACTGATTGTGAATGTCTGATAATAGTTGTGCTTATAAACAGAGATGTTCCCCATCAATTGAAAAAAAAAGTGAAGATAATTTTTCTTGTAATCACAGTGGATAATATGCAAGAGGAGCATCTGAACCAGGATATCAGATCTCTTCAAACTCTGAACATGCTTTCTCCTGCACTCTGTGGGGGCTGCGCCACATTCACCACCCAGGATCCAGTTTCACCACTTCCTGTTCAAGAACTACAAGCTGCAGCCTCTGGCTTTACATTAACTCTGTGTGTGGTGTGTGTGTGTGTATGTGTTTAGTTACATAGTTTTATTCAGCAGACTACACCCATTAAACGATGCCCACACTGTGTTACATTTTTGCACCACTGGGGGGTCTTCTTTGGCTTATTTTGCCCATCTCTGTTTTCCTTTTTATGCCTGTGTTTTAGAAAGAGGAGCTCCTGTATCAGCAGAGGGTGAACAAACACCTGCATCAACATGGAGACTAATAAGGTGACCAATTCTTCAGAACAGATTTTGAAATAAAACTTTATAGCTGTGGTTCCTAAATGTGTAGAGGGAATAAAATGACACATAGGAAATTACATAAATCATTTTGGAAGCATAGAATAGAATAGAATAGAATAGAATAGAATAGAATAGAATAGAATAGAATAGAATAGAATAGAATAGATACAGCCTCTATTGTCCTGCGCTGGGAAATTCAGGTGTAGCAGCAGCAGCAGGTACATACATCAATCCACAGAAACAGTATATACAGCAGGTAAAATAAGTATTGAACACATCACCATTTTTCTCAGTAAATATATTACTAGAGAAGCTAATGAC